TGGTCCATTAGTCATTTGGACTAATCTTTCCCTTGTGTCTTTAATTTTCTTCTTTCTCCCTTGCTCCAGATGGGGTGAGACCAGTGTTAGTATCTTACATGACTGTTCACAAGCTTTTAAGACTGCAGACACTACTCACTAAAGTAGAATGTAGAACATTTTGTTTATAAACTACGTTATGCCAGTTGAGCTAGATGTTCCCCAGAGCCCTCAGCCCAGTAATTTGGTCCCTCAGGGAGTTTGGATGTGTCTATGGAGCTTCCAAGACCTTCCTTTGAGTAAGTTGTACTGGCTTCCCCAATATTGTGTACTGTCTTACCCTTCGCCAAAGTTACCACTTATCTATTGTCTCTTTAGTATTTTTCCCTCCCACCTCTTCCTTCGCTTGTAACCATCAAAGATAGTTGCTTTTTTGGGGTAAACCTTTTCATAAGTTTTTATAGTAATGGTCTCATACAATATTTGTCCTTTTATGATTGACTTATTTCACTTAGCATAATGCCCTCCAGATGCATCCCTGCTGTGAGATGCTTCACAGATTCATCATTGTTTTTTTATCATCGGGTAGTATTCCATTGTGTGTATGTACTATAGTTTCTTTATCTGTTCATCTGTTAGTGGGCACCTAGTTTGTTTCCAACTTTTTGCTATTGTGAACAATGCTGCAGAGAACATGAGTGTGCATGTGTCTGTTCGTGTGACAGCTCTTATTCTCTAGGATATATTCCTAGGAGTGGGATTGCTAGATCATATAGTATTTCTATTTCTAGCTTTTTAAGGAAGCGCCATATCATTTTCCAAAATGGTTGTACCATTTGGCATTCCCAGCAGCAGTGTGTAAGAGTTCCAATCTCCCCGCAGCCTCTCCATCATTTGTTATTTTCTGTTTTTTAATTCATGCCAGTAATGTTGGGGTGAGATGGTATCTCACTGTAGTTTTGATGTGCATTTCTCTAATGGATGGTGATTGTGAGCATTTCCTCATGTATCCGTTAGTTGTTTGAATGTCTTCTTTGGTGTAATGTCTATTCATATCCTTTGCCCATTTTTCAATTGGAATGTTTGTCTTTTCGTTGTAGAGGTGTTGGATTTTCCTGTAGATTTTAGAGATTAAGCCTTTGTTGAATTTGTCATAGCCAAAAGTTTTTTTTCCCAGTCTATAGGTTCTCTTTTCACTCTTTTGGTGAAGTCTTTTGGTGAGCATAAGAACACACAAATCTTAACGAACCTAATTTTTTAAAAAGTTGAATTAAAACAAATTACCTAGTTTTTTGGTTTTTTAAGTTGTCCACCCTTACATATATAGCCAGGTAGAAGAATCACTGTCGGCTATCTACTGAAATTTCCTCCTAACTTTCAGTGGCCAAATTAAGATTCAGCCGTATCAAGTTTCTGGTTCGTCTGTCCAGTATGTCAGCCTCTTTAAAACTTGAGGCTCTTTTATTCCTCTGTACTGCAATGTAAATTTAAGTAACATATATCTTTCACACAAATTAAAATGCACTGGAAAGAGATATTTCCTGGCTCTACTTCCATCCCTTGGCAAACCAGGTAAAATCAGATGTGCTTGGTAGCATATGCAATGATCTGAGAATAGTGAAAAATTGATCACAGTTGGGGAAGAGTAGCTTTATGAATGGTTATATTGTCCCCTTTCATATGGAAGACCCAATATGAGGAAGTGGATATGGAGACTGGGGGAAAGATGAACTACCTAATGTTGGCCATACTCTGGCTGAATAGTAGGCTTAAGAAATTTTTAATCATAAATCACTATTTCTACATTGAGTAGAAATACCAGTAAGGTGGATGGTAGTACACTGTTCTGGTAGAAATGTTAGTTTGTTTAAATGAGTCCATCTCTTTTACAAATTAATTTTCTTCCCTTTCAGCTCAGAAGCATTTCTTAGGACAATTTACTGCAGATAAACTTTAATCCCATATTTAGAAGAGTAAAAATAATTTGGATAAGGGATCATTTCTAAGTTTTTTTTTATAAGTTTTTTATTCCATGTATGTCTCATTTCCAACCTTTAAATTAATGTGTTTCAGAGTATATTTATACTTGTATTTTGAGTAGTAGTTCTTATACTTTTTTGGAAATTATGCATCTGTCTATAGCAATAGATAGTTAAACACTGAATCACATTTTATGAGTAATCAATCCATTTATTTAATGAACTAATTGCCAAAAGAATTTTTTAATACTATGGAATAATTCCTTTACAATCGAAATTAAATTTTGAATAACCATATTGTTTGCATTTTTCTTTCTATACAGATGTTAAAATGCCCTATGTCATCTTTAATGGTTATGAAACAATCTCATTTTTAGTGTCTACTAAAACAGCAATAAGTATTTTTATCCTCTGGGAATAATAACCAACGGAATCATTTTCAAAGATAAGGATAAATATGTAACAATATAAATTTGTAATATGTTATATAGTTATCCAGCCAGTTTATTAAAATGCATATATTTTTAAAGTTTATATCCATACATGTATTCTACTGGACAAATTATAAATTTTCAATTGGTTATTTTCTTAATGACTTCATAAGCAATTCAGGATAATATCAGTTAAAACTACTTTTCTCATTGTAGAATACTGCATTTTTAATAGATTTTATTTTTTAGAGCAGTTTTAGATTTACAGAAAAATTGTGCAGAAAGTAGAGAGTTCCATTAGACCCCCCTCCATGCTGTACACTGTTTCTCCTGTTATTAGCATCTTACATTCCTGTGGTACATTTGTTACAATTGATGAACCAATATTGATATGTTACTAACTGAAGTTCATAGTTTACTTTAGAGTTCACAGTAGGTGTTATACATTCTACGGGTTTTGACAAGTGGGTAATGTCACATGTCCACCATTACAGCATCCAACAGAATAGTTTTACTGCCCTGAACACCTTGTGCTCCATGCATTGGTTTTTAATACAAATGTGGGAAATGGACCAATTCTGATACTTTTTAAAAAAAATAGCAAACACCTTGTCATCGTATTTGAAGTGAATTATCCTATTACTCTTTACGTAAACTAAGACTTAGGAATTAAATCTTATCCTATCTTTTGATTGACTGGAATAAGAAATAATGGGCACACTAACCCAAAAGCAAAGACAAGAAAGCAGGAAGGGACAGGAAAATTGGACAAATGGAAACAAGGAACCTGGGGTGGAGAAGGGGAGAGTGTTGACACATCGTGGGGTAGGCAACTAACGTCACAAAGCAATTTGTGTATTAACTGTTTAATGAAAAACTAATTTGCTCTGTAAACTTTCACCTAAATCACAATAAAAAAGAAAAAAAATTCTGCTAACTAGGCTTGTTTCTGCAGCTCTTCTTTATCTTCAAATCATACAGCAAAATCTGACTTAAACTATTTTCTTGGAAGTACTCTGGCAAGTCACCTTTTACCTAAAACACTTTTAGAACTCTTCCTCTACTAAGCCATGAGATTTCACTATATAACAGGAGATTTAAATGCTCTTTGTTCAGGTTTTCACAAAGTTTTAAAAATGTTGTCAAGTAAACTGGTTTTTAATAAAATTAACCATGTTTGTAGCATCAAAAAAATAATCTCAATACACACACATGTGCACACAAACTTTTGTGGACAATCATTTGATAATATAAATATACTTCACTGGGGTTTCTTTTTTTGGTCTGGAATATATCCTACAATGAGTTGGCGTAACAAAAAATAAGCTATAATATTTATCCATTATTGTAATGTCCTATTTTCATTTAGACGTAGTTTCTTAATATCTTAGTGAAAAGTATGAGCAATGTGTATGTGTTTTGATGTAGACATGAGCCTGTCTTCAGTTTGCATTGATTTCATTTATAGTGTCTCTGCTTATCAGGATCTCTCATTTATCCTGGAAGTTTTATCCTTTAAAATTTTCCTTTCAGAGAAATATCAAGATAATCCAGAGAACTGTCTCACAGTACTTCTCCTTGAGAGCTGTTTTTTTCTTTAGCATTAGTCTTTTCATTACAAAGTTTCTAGCTTGCATAGTGAAACTATCCATGGAATTTCAAGACAAATGGGAAATAGGAATTTGGGCTGTATATGTATATATATTTTATGAAATGTAATAATTACTTCCCCATCCAGATTCTTTAAAGTTTTCACAAAGTACTAAATGGAGATGAAAGGAATACTTAATCTAAATGTTTGAGATTACTTGAATCTACAGCAACCTTCTTGTTTTAGGGTACTGTATCATGGCGATTATCAAAGTAAAATCTTCCTTTTAATTTATTATTAACTTGAATTGTAGAAGATTTTTTATTTCTTATTTAATAAGAATTATTATGTGATGGCTTAGTGAAAGAGTATGTGTTTTAGACAGTATTCTTTAAAACCCTAATCCTCAAGATAATTTCAGGTTTGTCTGTGTTTATATATCATGAAGTAAAGTGGATTTCTGGCAAGTATCCAGTTAATTTTTATCATTGCAGGTAGACTGACCAGATAATGTTCCTCATATCCTCTCCTTCTGTTCCCTTTCAATGCCTTTTTTGTATTTCTACGCAACTAGTGCCCAGGAAAATTGTTGCAGGTGCCCATTTCAACAATACAGAGAAAACAGGTATACAGGGCTTGAACGAATATAGATAGTAAGAAAATTACTATGTATATGAAGCTGCATTCTTTTTTAACACACTGTAAAATTTAAAGAGATCTCAAGCAAATGATATATTTGGCCTTTGATAGACATTGGGAAAGAGTAAATAAGGATGGCTATCATTTGCTTTAAGTCCCTAGGAAACTGAGATTCCTCATATGGGGTATCTGTCATTTCTCTCCTGAAAGTAAGTCATGAAAGTTGAAGTGACAGCTTCTTCCTTAAAATATTTCAGAACACTAAACAAAAATACCCATAGGACCAATAACACATCTGAATATAGATATTTTCTGAGAGGTGTATTTACTATTGATAATCTTCTTTTAAATTTTTTGTTTCTTTCTCGCTTTCTTCTACAGCAGTTATATGCCGCTCAGCTAGCTGCAATGCAGGTTTCTCCAGGAGGAAAGCTTCCAGGCATACCCCAAGGCAACCTCGGTGCTGCTGTATCCCCTACCAGCATTCACACAGACAAGAGCACAAACAGTCCACCACCCAAAAGCAAGGTACTCTTTTGAAGAAGCTACAAGATTTGCCATTTAGAGTTTTTCTTGTCATTCAATGTTGTTTGTTGAATATCTATTTTTGTGCCAGCAAGTGGACTAAATTCTGTGTCTGCAGAGAGGTAAGAGTCAATTAGGCACAAAAACATAATGCATACAAACTTACATACATACATTTCGTCATTCATTTATTCAGCAAACACGCATTGAAAGCTATAGTAGGAAATGTGAGTGGTTTAAAAATTTATCAGATGAGTATCCTGTACCCAAGTAATTTAAGGGTACTTATATATGGAACAGATATTTATTTAAAAAAATAGCCAAATAACCATATTCAATGATGCAAAATAGTAAGTTTTATAAAGAGTTACAGATAAGGTATTTGGGAAGTTATTGGGAGCAAGAGATTACCTTCAGTAAGTGATCCTGGGAAGGTTCACTGAGGAAGGGACGGCTGAAATAGACCTCAGAGGATGAGTAGGATTAGGACATACAGAAGGTATTTTATTTAAATATTAAATAGTTATGATATGGTGCAGTATGGGTATAATATTGGATAAATCACACATACAATGACATTATTATGTAGAGATATGGAAATAAAGTATTAGAGGTAAGACTATTTAGAAATGGGCTTATTTTTGAAGCCAAGGAAACATTTCCTGGTAGAACATGGAAGGGAATCAGGGGAGATTTAAAAAAAAAAAATGTGTCTTTTTCTTTAAAAGGAGAGAGCAGCAGAAAAACTGATTAGAAATGTTCTTGTGTGTTTGTTAAGATCTTACTTAAATGATGTTCTATGAACATTAAACTTTCTATGAATGAAGTAAAAAGAGTGATCATAAAGTGATGGTCCCTGAAATAACTCAGGGAATAACCATACATACTTCTGACTGTAGCTAGAAGATAGTTAGTAGCAAACTGATGCAGTTAATTTTCCCCCAAAATAATACTTTATCTTTTGCTGAATTACCTAGAAGATTGCTTCTTCCCTCCATTTCATAAATGCCATGTTGAAATGTCTAAAGAGTAAGAGGGTAAGAGTCATCTCAAAAGCTGAAAAAAAAAAAAGAGAAAAAGATGAGAAAATACTGAAAAAGAAAATTCCAAGTTTATTTTATCCTTCCCCAGTGTCTTGGCAGCTATACTAGCATGCTCTTCACAGTTACTGCATTGCTCCAGAGGATGAACTGGCAGAGAAAAAGGATCAGCTGGAAATATGCACTCCATCCTCTGTCTCCTAAGTTCTTTTCCATGATATTAAGATATAAATGCGTTTGGGATTTTATCATAAGTTGTTTAATAATTGAGGAAGAAATCAAATATATTCAAGGACCTTAGGGTAAAGCCATGATTTACCAGCAATATATATATAAATATAGCGCAAAAATGAACTGTACACTCTATTGTGATATTAGGAAATACACATACACCACTTTTAAGATCTATTTCAGCTTGTTAGTAGACGTTGCATATTTTATGCTTTATGTATACGTATGGCCTGGTCTGCTCTTCTTTATAATCAAAGTAGCATGTAACTTTTAAAACTTAGTAGCAATTATAACATTTACTCGATACAGATTAATTTTCAAGCAGTGAAATTTTGGTGTTTCTGTGGCCTAGAACGTTTAATGTATTACATGTACAGGGTAACTTTGAGTAAAATAAATACCTGTGGCAGCATAGTCATCACACACAAACACTTGCATAAAGTATTATTCTGTTTTTCCTTGATTTATTGATGTGATTTCATATCATGTTTCAGAATGATGCTTCACATTAGGACATTTTATTTCATGGTTTTAGGGTATATAGTTCTCTTTTAAATGACTAATAAATATTTTTCTTTTTAATACTGTCTCACCAAATCACTTGTGCAAATAATCATGAAGATTTTTTAATCAATCAACCTAATCCATCTATCCATCAAATCATTTGTTCATTTATTCATCCATTCAAATCTTTATTGAATAGTTGCTACAAAGATACTTTCATAGGTAACCTTGTCAAACACAAAACTGAGTGAAGATTTGCTTTGCCAAGATTAGGAAACTACTTCATGAGCTATATTTCTAAATATTCATAGAACCCTATAGATTAGGTGTAATAGACTGATTATTTCAGTAATGTTAAAATTCTGCCACATGGCATGGTCTTATATACCTCCGTTTACTTAGTACTAGTGAAAAATAGATTGTTTCTATAGCTCTGATTGTACACAATTTAAAATATTTTATAGTTTATCTTCAAAGTTCAATTACCTTTTTAAATTAGCCCTTCACCTGGATTCTCTATCAGCCCAGAACTAAAACAGTTTCCGAGGTCAACTCTTCAGACAGGGATTGGACTGGACCATGGGACATAAAGGGATACTCGTGAGGAGTGTGCCTCTTAGCTCAAGTAGATACAAACGGGCAGCTTCTGTCTGGAGGTGAGATGGGAAGGCAGAGAGGATTAGGAGCTGGTTGAATGGTCACGGGGATGCAGGGGTGGAAAGGAGGAGTGTGCTCTCACAGTATGGGGAGAGCAATTAGGGTCACATAGCAATGTATGTACAAATTTTTGTATGGGAAAATACAAAAGTAAAATTAGCCCTTTGTGAGTTTTCTATTGTATAAAGTTTAAGAAAACTAGATGTTGTATTTCTTTACATCTGCAATTACTGTAAAAAATGTAAAAGATTTGAACAAGAAAGAAGTGTTTGTTTTTAAGTAAGAACAATTTAATAAAACTATGACCTTTCTTTGTTCAACCCTCTATTAAACTCTCTGCAACTACTCTTATGGTCAGAAAATATTTCTTAAGTGGGATTTTGCTTTAGATCAGCAGTAAAATTTAGTGGATTAAAAATTGTCAGACCAATCAGTATTACCATTGTCATTTTAATGAAGAACATAGCCTGAAAAATATAACCAACAGTCAATAAAGAGCCTCCATTGCATTACATGAATTTAGTTTCTTGCAGCCTAGAAGTGACATTTATACATAGCATAATAAATGTTTTGACTTCACAAAGCTCTTTTACCCATGTATAATAACTATCATTTATTATCATATTTCTGTTTTTAAACAATCATTTATTAGTGTCTTGAGGCTATATTCTATGTATTTTATTGGTGAATTTGCATGTCTATCTTGCTATAAAATAGAAATATATTATTAAAGGTCTTTGTGTTGTCTATATACCTACCTGGCATAAACCAAATTAATGGTTTAAGTTGAAAGTATATTTGTTGTTTGCAACAATAGACTTGTAAATCACATCCAAGCAATAATGTAAGGATAATGATCTTATTGGCAACTGTCAAAAAGCAGCCCTGTTCTCTGAATTATGTTGCCTTCCCTTCTTCCTAGGTATTCCTTTGCCTTTGATTCACAATTCCAGAGAAGGACACAAACAAAACTTATTTGCAATTTGCAAAAAAATGGAAAGGGGGAATCAAAAGGAGGGGGCTCCAAAAGACTGTAAAATTGTACAGCATGAGTCCTCTGATGCATGCTGTTTTCAATCTGCTGTGTGCCAGTTGGAGGCTTGGGGAGTGCGTGTGCACGAGAGAAAGGATAATGCTGAGAAATGATAGAGTGGCTGTGACCTCCAAGCTCAGCCTGGAAATCCAAGACATTGATTTCACTTAGCATTCCTGCTGAGAAATCTGGCGGAGTTCAGTTGTAATAAAAGAACAAGATTCTGTTCTAATGGTAATGGTGTATGACAGACATATCACTTTGTCTGTCCTCAGCACCAGAGAGAGGAGAATTGGAGAAAGGTCACCTGACCTGCCTGTGGTGTTGTAAGAGTTCTGTACTGAGTTTTGAACTGCCGCCTAGTAACATAATTATTTATAATATTAAATGATAAAGAAACCTTTAGAGGACTCAACAGTGAACCTCTAGAAACTACACTCAGGAATTGTGTTCTATAACTGAAAATATAAAAAGAAAATCTGATCTGTTCAAAGTCTGCATTGGAGAACATGGATAGTAATGCTTGTTGAGTTATATGTCCTTGAACCTGCTGTTTGAGAACTGTTTGCATTCATGTCTGACATATAGCCATTAGTTAATTTTTCTTCTTCTTTTTTTTTATGACTTGATTTTATTAGCTACAAGAGAAAAAAATTTTTTTGGTCTGTTTTGCCAAACATCAGTGATAGAGAAGTAAGAACATTAGCTGCTTTTTAAAAATTCTCAGGTGTTACATAAAATCTTTGTAAAAGCAAGTACACTTGTCTCTTTAGCAATCATTAAAATTTTTGTTCTCTGGATTCTACTTCAGATTTTTTTTTTCATTGATCAACGAAACCAAATATTTTTAGTTCTTCAGAGATATCCTTTTTACCTCACGTGTGTCTTCATAGCTGAGTTTATAGCTAAATGTTGGTAACCAACTTGAATGAAAGTCTGGAATCTTGAACTTTAGTGCATAAGAGATCCTGTTTAAAGGAAATCTTTACAATAATTCTACTTTTTCTTACTGAAAAAATTTTTTTGATTAAGATACAATTCAGCAGTATAGGTTCTTGAATCTCATATACAATAACACTACTTTGGATTTACTTATATGTCTAACAGATGTTTATTTGTTTACAGTTACCATTCTGCCACAGCATAGGCCAATATGAAATGTACTCAGTGACTTTCATTTCGTACCACATATATATTTCTTTTATTTAAATGATTTTCAGCATATCTTGCTACAATCTTTTAAAAATGTTGATACCCTTTTCTTTGAGATAGTAATTGATCTTGATACATTTTGTTTTTTAAGGATAAATTATTTCTTCCTGAAATAGTAGAATCAATACCAGCCTTAAAATAGTAGAATCAATGTCAGTCTTAAAGTAGTTGGGAAGAAGAGAATTTTTACTCAGCTTCACACTTAACTCATATAATTGTTGATAAAGAATAGGCTTGTAAATTTCACATTATCAAGAAATGCTTGTGTGTCATAGGTGTGCTAGACATCTGAATTCCACATTTTAAGTGTTTTGCCACTGCAAAAT